TCCCGCCTATATATATATATATATATGGTACTCAGAGTGCCTTAGCCGGACTCATTGATTGCGATCTTTGGTGTAAGTCCATCGGGTCGGGGGTTCGATCCATGCTTAAGATTGAATTGCACACCTTTCTGGTAGGGAGGTCCGCCCCTCGGTCAGACTATGACTATGGGGTTGATCTTGTCAGTTGTAAGTCTCTTCTGGTCTGAAGTTCGATTCCCTCGAGTGTAGTGTGTGGTACTCGAATTCTCACGCGCATGAGGGATATGTGTGTGTGTGTGCGTGTGCTGCAAGCCGTGGTTTGTTGGTTGGCAAGGTTCACTGTAAGTCCTTTCAAGTCACGGGTTTGATTTCCAGTGACACTGAGTTCTCGAATATTTAGGCACATGGTGCGGGCTCTCATCATGGGGTCTAGCGCTCTGTCAAATACCGATTTGCTTTTGAATATATGTATGTATTATCCTCTCATAGATTTTGATATTGAGACCTTGAAATGCTAGAACAAAGCTCTCTGCTATCTTTAAAATTATTAAACTTATTGCTATGCATGATTTAAGCTTATCATCATTTGATCTTCACTTGAATGAATAAAAATTTTCTCCTTGGATGCCCTGATTTTGAAATAGCTTATAATTAACTATGTGGGTTCAAAATGATACATAGCTTGCCTTGGATGGTTTTGATTGGTGAAAAAAATAGTTCATACTTAACTTTTAAGATGGCTTCCAAATATTGTATATCTACCATCATTTTGTTTGCAGTTGTTTGATGAATAGTTAAATAATCTAAAAATTCATAAAACTTATTCCACAATTTCATGCTTTCAATTACCCTTGATGTTATGGTATTGACTTTGAATATTATGTAAATTAATAGATTCCAAAATAATATATTTAAAAAATAATAGATGCTATAGATTACCCTTTTGTGTGTGTGCGTGTTTGTCATGCATCTTTCTTTGTATACAACAACAATCATGACATTAATCCTTTTGATCTTTTTTTGTATATCAACATAAAATTTAATGGCCATTATTTTAAGTAACTAAAAGTTTAAAATGCATTGTTACTATTAAAAAAGAGCTTAAAAACATCTTTTGGTTGCTTTAAATTTTTGCCTTTTTTAAATAAATTGAATGATGCATGATAGATTGTAGCATTCCCGCTTTTTCTATATATTCATGATTTGTTTTCTCCTATTCACATTCATCCGTTTATTTAAATTATTGATGTTTAAAGAGATCATTCTCGTTTTTTTCAAATCAAATTTTATGTTTTAAATTTTATAATCCATTTTAAATTTTAATTATTCATGGGGGGGATGAATGTGTAGGACTGATGGTGTTATGTGATCAAATCGACTTGCACAATTTGCCATGGAAATTATTTTGTATTTAGCTAAGATATTCTTGCAGGAATGGATTCAAAGAAAGAAATGACAGAAGTTTTCACTACAGAGAGAGAGGAGTGAAGCTTCAGTGCAGACATGCATTTATTTAAATTCAGTGATAATAAACTAACCAATGCTTTAATACTTCAGCGACAAAGCTAAGAGGCTCCAAGGAAGGCGAGAAGGTGCTCTATGCTAAAACAAATACGGGTTTTCACCCTCACTGCAAACATGCATCAAATCCTAATCATGAATGTGCTGAATCCTGCTTCCAAAGTTTGACTGAAGGAAACATAGCCCAGGGAGGTGAGATAAACGGCTTTATGTTTGTGTGTTCCAATTCCGCAAGAGCTGAAATAATAGTCAGTGAAGCTAAATTGTATATGACTTGAAAGCAAATAATAAGTCCCATATTGCTGTGCTATTTGCCTCTAATTTCCCCTTCTGCTGCTATCTACCTATTAGTATAGCAGATTATAAACAATAAATGTCATGTTATTGATTCATCTCCTTTCTAATTGTTTATTAAATTACAGAGAAGCACAAGGAATTTTCTAACAAGGCTAATAAAAGTAGCATGCGTCTTAACCGTAATGCATCCAATCATAACAAAGTTTCTGAAACTTGCTTTGAGGATACTCCTAAAAAGGAACATCTGATGGGAGGTAATTCATTTGTCAGATTGACTTGCTCTACTTTGATAATAAATGTTCTATTTAGTTGTAAACTGTAAATTCAACTTATGAATTGTTTTAGACATGAAGTCAAAGAAAAAAAATGAAATAGATCTCACCTTACAGCGTGAGTTGAGCTCTGAGTGCAGAAGTGCATCAAACCCATACCATGAATGCGGTGAATATTGCATCCAACATGTCCCTGAGAGGGAACAGCATAGGCCAGGTAAGCTAAATCCTATGTTCATCCAAATTCACTAGCAATAATCTAATCGATACATTACTTCAGTCATCAAGCTAAAGAGTTTCCAGGAAGGAGAGAAGGTGATGAGCAAAAAAGATAGCGACGGTATGAACTATCAGCGCTAATATGCTTAAACTCTCACCATTGATGTGCTAATTTCTTTTTCCAAAATATTATGCCGCCTTTCTTTTTTTTTATTCTCTTATGTTTATATCTTTTATGTTTTTTTGAGATGCCAAATTTTTTCTCTTTGATATTTGTTTTTCTCCATTCCTGTTTCTAATTAAATTGTAGAAAATACCATAGGAGTTTCCAATAAAACCGAGCAAGCAGCGTGTTTCATTTTCTCAGCATGCTTCCAGTCTTTACCGTAAAGCTATTGAAAATTTTGTTGAGGATACCACTGAAAAGAACATCCTTAGGGAGAGAAATTTTCATCTTAATTGTAATTCAATTTAAAATTTTATTGCAGCCGAAAAGCGAAAAGCGGAAATTGAAATAAGGGAGACTGTGGAACAAATAGTGAACCTCGAGTACAAAAATGCATCAAAGCCCTCCCATTTATGTCCTGAATTCTGTCCTGAAATTGTCTGCGAGAGGGACAGGCATGAGCAAGGTAAGTCACATCCTGCATTTGTCTGCATTCATTATCAGTAATCTAATCAATATATTATTTCAGTCATCAGGTTAAGAACTACAAAGGAAGGGTGCAAAAATGTATTAAAACCTCACCATGAATGTACTGAATTCTGCTTCAAGAGTACCCCAGATAGGAACATAGTTGAGGGAGGTAAAGATATACTATGTTATGGTTCTGTGTTAAGGTTTCACAAATGCTGAAATTATAGTTGATGAAGCAAATTATTTCTAATCCAGAAACTATGTCATGTACTCTTTTTTTAATTATTATTCTCCTTATATTGATGACTGTTAAAGTGAGGTTTTGTCGTTATCCATTAATGTAGTAGAAACAAATTATTTCTCTTGTATCATTGATTTATATCCTTTCTTATTGTTAATATAATTGTAGAAAATTCCAAAGGAGGTTTTATGGAAAGTGATGAAAATGTGCATACTAGTCCTAAGCATGCACCTAATCCTTACAATGAATTTACCGAGTACTACATTGAGGAGACCTCCAAAAAGGGACAACTTGAGAGAGGTAAATCATCTTCCGCATTGACTTGCTCTACTTTTGTTGTAAATTATCATCTGAGCTATGATTCAACTTATAATTTGATACAGCCATAAAGCCAAAAGAAGAAAGTGAAAAAGTTGTTTTCGCAGAGCAAGGAATGAATCTTGATTGCAGAAATGTATCAAACCCCGATCATGCACGTGCGGCATACTGCTATCAAAGTGTCCCCAAGAAGGAGCGGTTTAGACAAAGTAAGTTGTATAATACCTTTCGTTCAAATTCAATATCAACAATCTGACATCTGACATCTATGTTACTTGAGTCTGGAACCTCAGTGCAAATATGCATGCAATGCTCACCGGAAATGCACGGAATTTGCTTCCAAACTATGCCGCATTGGAACTTTACTGAAAGAGGTTTCCCCACCTACGAAGTCAACACATTTCTTATATGCCTTATTATATATAAGAGAAGTGCAGTGTAGGAGAAAATTGTGAACAATTATCTTATGTAGGATTAAGAGGATGTTAAAAAATGCATCGACTCTTGTGAGTTTGAGAGGCAATTATGTTATTTGTTCGTTTGTTTCTAACCCTCAGATCAGAGCATCGGGGATGGGAGGCTAATACTCTAGTCGATGAATCAAAATTATATGTGATCAAGGAGCTAAGCATGGGTCTTGTAGTCCTATCATTCCTTTTATTGCTGATTTGTTGAAGTTAATAATAGAAATAGTCCTTCTTAGATCATTAATTCATCTTCTTTCCAAATGTCAATTTGATTATAGAACAGCCCAAAGGAGTTTCATTTAGGATTGATAAATGTGGAGAACTTCCTAATCATAAGCATGTATCGAATCCTTACCTTAAGGCCATGGAATACTGCTTTGATGATAAACCTGAACCGCAACACATTAATGGAGGTAAATCATTCGCACATTAAATGGAAAAGTTTATGTACTTTTATCAATGCTTCGATCAATTAAAATCAAAACCACACCGCAAAATAGAATCATATCATATCTCCTCTCTACAATTGATGGAACTTTCAGAAAGTTGCTCTAAACCCTTCCTCTCAATCTCACAAGGCAAAAACATGTTGAAATTCTTCTCTCCAACACTTCTCTCCTTCATAAGACCTTTGCCGAGAGAAACGCATGTGCGGGAGTGTACTACTTCATCGCTAGAGTGAAGGATTTAAACTGAAACGGGAGAGTAATTGCACCTAGCACGTCTGCGCCACTCTTGGGTTTTGGGGGCACCATGCTCTCTGTAACGAGGGCGCCATCTAAACACAAGTGCACCGCGCCGAAACGGGAGAGTAACTGCACCTAGCACATCTGCGCCACTCTTGGGTTTTGGGGGCTTCATGCTCTCTATAACGAGGGCGCCATCTAAACACAAGTGCACCGCGCCATAAAGTTTCTTGGCATATTTCCTTGTTACCGTGGGTGCTCTTCCAGACTCCACACCTCAACAATCTTCTACTTAGAGACTGAAAGCACCCAACTCTTGTCTCTATATTTACATCTCCATCTCACTGTACCATCTTCATAGTCATGTATCGTGGTGTGGCTCACCCCCGGTTTCAATCTTCATGGAATCCAAATGAAGTCAAGCATTGTTCCAGTTTCTCGATAGTCACCACATTCATCAATATGTCCGCGAGATTCTGAGCTATGTATCTTTTCTAATAATAAATTATCATGTTTTAGCATAGAGTGTATAAAGTGATATCTCAGCTGAATATGCTTTGTCTTGGCGTGAAAGAATTCTCAGCAAAATGAATTGCATTCATAATGTCACTTTGAAGTTCAATTCCCTGCCCCTTAACCAATTCTGCCATAAAACCTCGTAGTAAAATCATCTTTTTGCTAATCTTAATGATAATAATGTATTCGACCTCTATAGCGTAGAATCTCAACTTATCGATGTGCTCCTAAGAGTGAAGATATACCATGTTGCACTTCTTTTATCATCATATAGCGTAGAATCTCAACTTATCGATGTGCTCCTAAGTGTGAAGATATACCATGTTGCACTTCTTTTATCATCAAAATTTCCTCGCAGATCTGAATCTATAAATCTCTATAAATTGATCCCTGCACTTCCATAGTGTTGATTGCTCCCCTCAAATACTTGAGAATTCACTTTATCGCCTCTCAATGTTGTTTGTTTGGATTGCACATGTATCTGTTAAACACTCCCACTATGTATGAATATGTTGTCCGGTAAAAATTATAATATACATCAAACTTCCAATTGCTGAAGCATACGAAGCTCTCCTCATCTCGGTTTGTTCTTTGGCAATAGCTCCTTAGATTGCTTGAAGTGACTAACTAATGGGGGTACAAATTGGCTTTGTCTCACTCATATTGAACTTTTGTAGGATCCACTGAACATACTTTGTTTAAGACAACTTCAGTGTACTTGCACTCATGTCCCTATTGATTCTTATTCTGATGATTTTTCTGGTTGGACCTAAATTTGTCATCTCAAACTTGATAATTACTCCTTTAAGTCAATGATTTTTTTCATATTTGCCCTGCAATCAACATGTCACCCATATACAAAAGATCAAGACATAAAATTATTCAAGTATTTGATAAAGAAACAGTGATCTGTCTAGCACTTCATGTATCAACTGTTTGACATGAACTTGTCAAACGTCAAATACCATTGTTTTGGGACATGTATTAAGTTATATAAGCTTTTCCTTAACTTGCGAACCAAAGCTTCTTTCCTTGAAACTTTGTAGGGTTGCACCATGTATAATTCATCTTTCAGATCTCCATATAAGAAAATTATTTTTACATTCATCTACTCTAGATATAGATTTCCTCTGCTTCCGGACTCGACACATCCTTGATGATTCTCATCTTCATCACCAGAGAAAAAAAATTGTGTAGTCCACTGTCGGCCGTTAAATCGGGAATGAATATTTGATTTAATATAATATATGTATATATAGTTTTGAATTGTAATTGTTTAATTTTAAAAATATGAGACCGAACTGATCCCATATTAGACGATAATTTAAATAAACGACCACAACACTACAAGTGACATATCTATTTCTAGAAATAGACATATCACTTATACGTGAGACTCAATTAAATAAATTAAAGAATTTATGACATTCGTCTGGTCTGTAAACCTTTATCTTGACCGACAAGTTCCCCTACCTAATATTAAGAATTAGATAGGGTTTATTTTATCTGGGTTCTTAAAACTCCCTATAGAGTCAAGCCCCTATAGTTAATTACCTCTCAAATGACTGAAGTCACTTAAGAGAACTCTCGATAATGATCAGATGTATCTATCTTCATGAATCCAAAGTTTAGGGTTTCCAAGATTAGACATAGAAAAGTCAGGTGGAGAAAGGGACTAAATGAGAGCAATTATTTCTGGAGTCGAAGGAAAGAAAAGTATGTGATGTTACAGATCTTGAGGAGAATCTCGGTGACTTCCCAAACTATCCTATTGTTTGGCTTCAATTTCACTCCCTATAGAGTCAAGCCCCTATAGTTAATTACCTCTCAAATGACTGAAGTCACTTAAGAGAACTCTCGATAATGATCAGATGTATCTATCTTCATGAATCCAAAGTTTAGGGTTTCCAAGATTAGACATAGAAAAGTCAGGTGGAGAAAGGGACTAAATGAGAACGATTATTTATGGAGTCGAAGGAAAGAAAAG